AAAGAAAGAAAGAAAGAAAGAAAGAAAGAAAGAAAGAAAGAAAGAAAGAAAGAAAGAAAGAAAGAAAGAAAGAAAGAAAGAAAGAAAATGAACCCTGGACCTCCCTGTTAGCAAAAGTTTAAAGTCTCAGTGCTATTAAGCTATTGGCAGCCACTCCAACACTGAGTTCCATCTCCAGCCAGGGAGCTGGCCAGGGTGCAGCAGACCTCTCCTGACCTGCTCGCTGCTCCCCTCAGCAGTGTACTTCATCCATCTGCCTGTTCTACTCGCTGATCTGTCTCTGGTGAATCCTGTCACCCCTCCACACACCTCTGGTCTATACCCCCGTTCTTCTATGCATAAATAAATCTTAAAAAAATAAAAAAAAGACCTTAATAAATAAACATAATTTCAAAAAGACCGCAATGTAGAAAGAAATAATGGAATAAGGACTTGGACATTCAGAAAACAACATAAGAGCTTAAATGTTCTAGCTGATTATGCTCCCCATCCCCCAGGCTTTAACAGTAATTAGTTACTTTTATGAAATAACTCACTCCGACCAACTTCCAATAGTTCACAGACACTCTATTTTGCAGTCAATTTTATCAGTGTGAAACAATTTTAGTTAAATGAATGTGCTATTGTAATTAGGGCTGCATGAGTGGGTTTGCAAAGAAATCACTGACCCTGGGTGGGCATCTCCTATACCCAGTGGGGGCAGGTGTGAAGAGCTACACACACAACCTCGCTGTACGAAGAGACAGTTGGCGTGCCTATGCTTGATAAGGGATGATGGCATGGATGGCACTGGTCAGTTGGCTGAGAGAGGCTACCTAGAGGTCAGTGGAGATGCTTCTCCCAGTCCTCCGGCTGCTACTGAGATAAGCAATGTGCCCAGGAGCCAGAAAGCATTCAAGCATTTCATAGCAAGACCCTGAAGAATAACTTCAAGTTTGCCAAGCAAAAGGGGGAAAAGAGAACTACAGGCATAAGGAAAAGAATCTGCAAAGACGTAGAGGTAGTAAAAGAACAGAGACAGGATCAAAGGAAGAAGCAGACCCTGAAATGTAAGCACTCAATAGGGGTGGCCAGCTGAATGTGTGGTTCAGATGATCATCTAGTCATTAGTAAAAGTGATGAGGGTGTGCGTCTCTTGGGCACACTCAGGAATCACAGCAAGGTCCGGATCTTTTTCTTCAATCTCACTCATAACTACTGTTAACAGGCCTTTGGTCCCCCAGTGCTTGCTAACCCCAAAGACAGCTTAATTAAGAACGTCACCCGGCAAGAGGCAGGAAACTGCTGAAGAAGCCAAGACACATGCAAACTGCATGATCCCTTTTAAGACAGATATTAGTGAGTGGTCAGATAAGAGAAAGGAATCAGTCTCAACTATCCCACCCTTCCATCACTCCCCCAGTATCCCCTCTCTCTCCCCACCATCACCCCCAAGCACAAGTCTCCATTCCACAGGCAACAGGCAGTCTTGATATGATGTGACTGTCATTCAAGAATTCCCACTACTTTACGGGCAGCAGTCTGTACCCCAGTCTTCAGCCAGGGCACTGACTGCCTATCTTCCTAACCTGTTCCCCTCCCACACCCAGTCTCCTCCCCAACTCTGGGCTTACACCCCAGCTCCCCCAGTACACTGTGTTCTTTCATACTCTTAAACCTGTGGCCAGGGGAAGAGCCTGTAATCTGCCTGGTTGGCATGGGGTGGTGCCTCAATCCAGCTTCTCTGCAGACCCTGTCCTAGTCTGTCATCACCCACCCCTACCCCCAAAGCAGAGTCAGGGCCTGCTCGGCTGATTGTAAGGTTCTATTTCTTCCTCTGGGGGCCAACACAGAGGCATCTGCATTGCAGAGTCATCACTAAAATGTGCATTTTTAGTTTGTGTATCTGACTGCATATGTGGTACATGGAACAATAAAAAGAGGAAGAAATTAAAGCTTATGCAATCAGTACCCAAAGAAAAGAGAAGAATCCCATGTCGAAACCAACACAGGTGGCACCCTGCTGTTCTGGGTGTAATTACTTCCACCACAACCATCACCCATTTGATATCTTTGGTTTTGCTTCTCAGCCCAGGGGCAGCAGCGTACATGAAAACCAACCAGCCTTTTCTCAGAAGGAAAACTGCAAGCAGCTCACTTTGGCGGAAAATCTGCCTTTCTTCACGTTAGATAAAATCAGAGCTGTTATCCACACTGCCCTAGCCAGGCTGGATGCCAAACAGTACGTATTTCAGGGACGGTGTCCAGGAGAGCACCAGGAGGGATTCTAGGTCCTGGGCCAGCAGAAGGGGCAGGGAATTTCCACGAGCTAGTATGCCTTCTGCTGCATCAGGATAAGCTATCCTTCGAGAAACTTCCCTCAATAGGCTGCCTAGCTTCTTATATCCATAAAATTTCTTCCTGCAAGTGATTTTTCACCAGTGGGGAAATGGTTAACTCACTTTCTTCTATCCTGCCCTTATTATATACAGGTAATTTAATCTAACATCCATTACCTAGCAATTGATCTCATTGACATTACATTGGAAACATACAGCTGCTATATTATCAAAAAGGTTTGGGCCAAAAGTCTCACTGCTCAAAGAATTTTACAGGAGTAGCATTTCTATGACCAGCAGGTAGCTGAAGACACTGAGTAGCTTTACCAAACAATGGGCTGGTTATATTCACAGTGTTCAAAAAAAAAAAATCATGCAAATTAGTTTATTTAAATCCCAAAAGATCCATTTCCTTATAGCACTGGATCTAGCAACAAGCAGGAATTCACAAAATACTGAATTGCAAAAAGCAAGAAAGGACTAAGAAGATGAGCAAATGATCCTGCCACCCAAACATCATAGCCCAGGAAGAATGAAAACATCTTCCAACCGTCACCCATTTTGCTGGATATGTGGGGCAAGGAAGGCAGGTGAGCTAACAGAAATGAGCAGGATCTGGTGACATCAGATGCCTTATTGGTCTCACAGGGTCCCCATCTTTGTTTAGGAATCCTTAGCCCAGTCAATTTTGTGTTCTTTGATCTATCTTTTTTTTTTTTTTAAGATTTATTTATTTACACATACAGGCCACAGGTGCAGGGGAAGGGAATGAGAGGATACACCAGAGATGGAGTGAGGAGCAGAACATGCACACTGACTGAAATACACTGCTAAGGGGAGCAACAGGCAGGTCAGGGGACGTCTGCCCTGTGGGGCAACCCCACCCCCGGCTGGGGATCGAACTCCTGTTGCAGTAGCTGGTTTGTAACTTCATAGTGCTGTTCTTTAACCCACTGTGCCACCACGGAGGGAGGGCACCTACAAGGCTCACCTACAAGGCTACTTTGAGAATTAAGTGAGAAGATATATTTAGTAGAGGAAAGTTACTAGAACTTTGGTGGTGGATGCAGTGTGACATACACATTTATTGAGGTGTAAAGCTACACACTCCTAAAACCTACATAGTACTGTAAACTAGTGGCAAATCAATAAAAAGTCAGATAGCATATTATTTAGTAGATAACTACTTAAATTCAAGTAATAACAATAGGGTTAGGCTGAGGCTTTGTATTACTTCCTTGTCACCAACTAAGTCAAGGATGACCTTGGTCAAGTTACTGAGCCTCCTTCTATATAATGGGACCCATTATGGTGTTCCTAAGTATTTTATTTTAATAAATAATCATTTACTAAAACCACCCTTATTAAATGAAGCTACTTTCACCTTCTTAGGAAAAATCCTAATTTCTTGTTTATTCAGTCCATCCTATAAAATTGGTCAACACCTTTTTGTCACCATAAAGAATATGTAAGTGACAATTATTTGGCCTAATTTGGGACATGTCATTCACATTTTAATTTGCCCACACATTAAAGGCCAACTTCTGAAAAACAGTCAATAGCTCCTTTATAGAACAAAGTGGCAAGATGCCATTTTTTATTAGTGACACCAGGCTACATGGAGAACAGCGGAAGAGACTACAGAGCTGGTGATGCAGTCTTGAGAGTTATGAAGGCTATTTCCCACATGTCAAAGTCTTAGAAAAACCTGCTTTTATTGAACCATAGGAAATGAGAACTTGATGTGAAAAAAGTAGAAACTAGGTCCCAGTTGAGAAAGAAAGATGCCTGGACTCCACAAGCCTCAGGGATGTGGGGAACAAATGCTTCCCCAGTTTTTATGGGGAGCTTTTACACAAAGAGGAACAAAGGAATAAAAAGCAATAGATGCTCATTGTTACAATGTTTAGATGCTCCCTTGGGAGAAGGGAAGAAAATACAGGCATGTTAAGAGAATTCTAGACATTAGCCTAAATCATAAGTCTGTGCAATGGAAGAGTATGTGTTGAACTGGAAAGAAAGAACAGAGGAACAGGAAGGGGAGGAAGGGGGGAAAAGAGGAGAGAAGGGGGAGGAAATTCATCAACACTTACCTTGGTAGGGATTCGTGCTGTCACAAGGAAGGCGCGGCATGATGTAAGCACCTGTAAGATGAAAGAGTAGCATCAGTATAAATACCCCAAAGTGGGACTGGGTTGCTTTGGTCTGAACTTTTATGATACTGCAGCCCCAAGAAAGTACACAGCTGGGCTGCCGGTGGAAAGTGAACAGGAACTGTCACTTTCCCTGGGATTTTACTCTGAAGGTCCATGTTGAACTAATGACCTGTGAGATCTTGACATGAGCAGCCCGTGCAGAGCCCGAGGAACAGCAGCTTAGAGAGGTCTCTTATCTGTAGGATGAGTCCCACGATGTCCACAGCAAACAATGAAAAAGCCAAATGACAACTGCCACCCACCTTTGTCCTCTTGCTTTCTCTTTCCCTGTATGGCATTTACATAATACACAGGCAGAACAGACTAGTCATCCACAATGTCACTCCCAACTTTGCCTCTCAGTTATCTCTCTCAGTACTACAGAGAACTTTTATGGAAGTCTTCACTCCCATACTCAGCTAAGAAAAAAATTTATATGGTCGTTAAGTCATTGCTAATCGTGTCTCATTTCCCTACAGGTCCCCGAGAGTCTGGAATACTAAGGGGAAATAGTTTGAACTCTTAGTTCAAACGTGGTGCAGGAATCCCACGTCTACAGTCCTCAAAATCTACATGTGTCACTCAGCAGCTTGGAGGTCTTTTTGGACAAAAGAAAGGAGACTCCACTCAACAAAGAAAGGAAATTCCCACACTTCTAGAGTCCTGGAGAATGTTTTTTCAAAGAACTTCCTTGTCACTAAATTAAGTGTTTAGCAACCGATGCTTATGTTCCAGTCCAAGAATGCTAGACTTGAACAAAGCCTTAGAGATCTAAGTCAAGAGCATGAAGGCCCAAGTTGTTAAATCAGGCCAGAGCTCAACCTTCTAATCCACACATAGGAGGTGAATCCTTGAGTGTCCCTGTGGCCTGTTCTGGGTCCGACTCCAGTCTTACAACTCCAAATAGAAAACATGTATTTTCTAGAAAACTCTTCATTAAATAATCATAAGCAACTACTAATTAGAAATAACTTGGGAGGAGATGGGGAGGGGAAGAGGGGGGCTGAAGGGGAAGGGAGAGAAGTGGAAAAGTGAGGGTGAGGTGAGAGCCAGATACAGGCTGGCAGAATCTGACAATGAGCAAGGCAGGGTGAGGTGCCACGTCCCCTCCCGTGGCGCCTAAGTGAGAAATCCTTAGAGCTTGGCACGGTCAGGTACCGGGCACAAGGGAGGAATACATGGTCCTCCAGGAATAAAAGAATGGCTGATTCTTGAATGGTCACTGTAACTTTTGATTTGTTTCCTGATTCTGCTGACACACAACGTACTAAACCAAAGAAATGTTAGGAACACTGTGCTTCGTTCTACTGATACTCTTGAAAGGAATGTAGCCTCCTCTGTTCTCGGTATTGATTTAATTCTGAGAAACTTTTCTATAATCTTTAATTCTATTAAACTATTAACTCCTGTATACCCGGTGGCTTGTGAAAAAAATGGAGAGAACAATTAAAAGGATTAGCAAGGCAGAAGTGATAGATAGGACATTTGTTAGCACCACTGAACCTTGAATACACAATGGTTTCTCAGGGCCCCAGGTTGGTTTCGGGCCCCTGACAACATCTCAGAAACAACAAAAAAAATGTATTATGTGTCACGGTTCTATATTTGCTTGCCAAGAAAAATTGTATAAATGCTTTGCACTCTTAAAAATAAACTACATTCAGATATGCACTCCTAGAAGTCTGTCTGTCTGTCACTCAACCTCATCCTTGTCCACCCTGCGCCAGAATTACCATCCCTGAAACTTGTCTCCTGATCCTGCTGTGCTGGTCCGTGGCAGTGAGGGGGGCTGTGAAGGAGGAACCACAGTTCATTTCAAGACTTCTCCCCAAATGCGTTCAATCAATCATAGCTACAGGTCTACCTCGCTTCCTGAAAGATCATGTTATGGACTGAAATGTTCCTTACCCAGGATTACTTTGCAGACTGTGTACTTGTCTCATCGTCCATGTTCTTATTATATGTGAGTGTTTTTGGGGGGTGGGAGGCTGGAGGAGGGGAGAGGTTGTGCCTTATTCAACATGGTTCGGGAGATTATTTGTTGGGTCAGAAAATGCTAAATTTTCCCCATATTAATTAACAGCACTTGCTTCTTCACTTTACATTATTTCACACTATGAAAGACGTCACAGGAATGTTCTGCTTTGGGATAGCAGGGAAGACCTGTGTTCACAGGATCCACTTTTAACCAGTATCACTTTTGCTACTTGGTTCTAGAGGCTTAAAAGTGACTTCTTGCAATACAGGAGACCGTGGATAACTATATTTGAGTATTCCGTAGGCTGTGAGCCACAGAATGATCCTGTCTTTACTAAGGCCTAATGGGGGGCAGGGGAAAGCAATGAGCAAGAGAAAGGAGAAGGATGTGTAAGAGGTGGGATCAGATGAGTGAGCGAAACGGAATGGCAGCCCAGTAGCAGCAACATGCATAACTCACTACAAAATCTGCAGGGTCCTTGCTCAGAAATCAAGAATGTTAAGACAGTAACCGAAAGCAAAACCCACGGGCAGGTTCTTCTGAGAGTGGCACCCGGTGCCAGCTCATGAAACCAGCCCTGGTACTAGGCCATTCATGAAGCATTGCTCATATACCATGAAGGGGGGAGGACCTGGTACACCCACACATTTAATCCATATAACCACCATATTCAATATAGCTGTTACCGCCACTTTACAGGTCTCTGAGATTCGGTAATGGAACTCACTCCAACTCACACAATGAATGAGAACAGAAATAGGATTTGTACCAGCTTTCAATATTAGTTCCAAAGTCCATGCTTTTCCTCATTAGGCTACATTATGTCACCACCTGATCCCGCCTCCCCAGGGGACTCCTCCTTCCCCGGAAAGTCCTCCTCCCCCTGCACTCCTCCAACACCCCCAAAACTCCTCCCCCCGAGACTCCTCCCCCCGAGACTCCTCCCCCCGAGACTCCTCCCACCCTGGGCCAGTCAACTAGGGTTGGTATAGGAAGGGCCCAGATCAGCTTGTGAATAAAAGGACTCAGAAAAGCGTCCAGCTCACAGCATATCTTCTTCAACAGGTCAGTAATTAATTCAAAGATTCTCTACACATGCCCTAGACAGTTAAACTCTCTACTAGCCAATCCTGAGATGGCAGGACTTAGAGGAGTAGAGTTTGGCTGCCTTTGGGGAAAGGACGAGCAAGATTTTGTCGTGTGGGACATACAGGGTTCAGCAGTGACCAAGACAGAAGGGGAGACAACAGGCCTCAGCGTCAAGCTATGACTTTCACTTAAGTCTGGGTAACAGGTCGTCACTGAATTGTGAGAGTGAGATTCATCTTAAAGGATGATAAATTGGCCCCCCCTGGTGGCGCAACGGGTTAGGACTAGCGGCTAGCAGCAGCCGCTTCTGTGCGAGTTCGATCCCCGGCCCCGAGGTGATCCACATGGCACGGAAGACCTCTCCTGTCTCCCCTGCAGTGTACTTCCTCAATCTGCCTGGTTTGCTCCCCACTCTGTCTCTGGTGAATCCTCGCACGGCCCTTGCACCTCTGGCCTATATCCCAATTTCTGTATGCATAAATAAATAAATAAATCTAAAAACAAAAAGGATGACAAATTCATCTTCTGGGAATTAAGCCCCTGCTCCACAGCTCATCATGAGCCTAGATGGATCTAGTCCCAGATGAGAACCCCTCCCCTTTCAAACAGGGGTCCTCTCCAGGGGAACAGGCAAAGAAAAGAGAAGCCAACACTACCAGCCTGAGACACAGAGCAGCCAGAAGCTGGACGCCTATTCCTGCCCTTTCTCTCTCTGTATTGTTTACAACATAGACACACTTCTCTATTCCAGAGGCACTTTGTATCATCAACCCCAATCTGTCCAAGAATCTAAGGTCCATAAACCCTCTGCATAGAGGTAAAATGAAGGAGAAGAGAGAAAGGGGGAAGAGATGGAGAAGCAAGAGACAGCAAAGGACAGAAGCAGAGAAGTATCACCGCAGTTAATTCAAGCCAGAGTTGGAACTAGATGCTACTATGCCTTACCCCCACCACTCCTCTCTCTTCCTCAGATTAGCAATAAGGCTCAATGTCAACATCCCAGACAGGACCATGTTGCCACTGTAGTGCCTAGAAAACTACAAGAACTCTGTGAACATTCCTGCGAAGGAAAATGAGCCCCATAACCTCCATGGATCACTTTATAAGACCAGTAGTAAAAACAGCAGCCATTACTCATTCCAACAAGTTTCCTTTCATCCCCTAGGTACTCTAAGGGTAGACACTATTATTATCCCCATTTTAAGAAGAAGAAACGGAGGAACAAAGAGCTGATACGACTCCCCCAGGTCACCCAGCAAGCCAGTGGCAGAGCTGTGTGGGCTCCAAGCACCGCACCCCTAATTAACTTTTCCTGGCTCACAGTCGCACCTTTCTATGAACGAGCTTCCTCAACAGTCCACACACATGCAAACATCTACAGGTCATAGAGTGTTAGAGCCAGAAAGAAACAAACAGGGGAAAGACTTGCCTGTAAGGTAAAGAACGTTGGGCACCCTTTTCAAAAGACCAGTCCCTTCTGCTATGCCTGTCTGTCTGTCCATCTGTCTGTCTGTCTATGTGATTCTAGGCATGCATCTCCCCACCTCCCTGTGTCTCTCTTTACCTGCTCCCCCATCCTTCTCTCACCCCCTCTTTCTGCTGTCATTGCTAAGATGTCCATTCAGTCTCATTCAGTCTCTCTTCCCTCCTCCAGCACTAACCCCTACCTTCACTTTCCAGCAGTTTCTCTAACCACTTGAGAGTTTTTCTTATTTTTATGGCTGTTGCAAAACCATAGACACCAACCCCAGAAGCAGAGCTGCATTCTGAAAGTGTATCTCATTTGTACCACCATCAGAGAGAAACTTGAACAGAACATGAAATAAAAATGACAAGACACCTGTTGACATTTTTATACAAGGAACCCATGGCTAATTAAGTG